AGACCCCATCTCAGTGCTGAGGACCCCGCGTTCGTGTCGCTCAGGCTGACCGCCCCCCAAGCTGGCGCGTACGGGGCTCTGAGTGACAGACGCTGGGCCTTAGCCCAGGACGCGTGGCGTGGGTGCTGCCCCTGCCCCCCAAGGCCTCCAAGGCCAGCCGGGAAGCTCCTGCAGCCCTGCCGGCTTCCCTTGGCGTCAAGTAGGGATTGCAGACGGCAGCGGTCGAACCAAACTGCGCTTCGTCTTCCACCCTGCCCTGCCTCGGTTTCCCCACCTGGGAAAGGCCCCTCCCTTTCCCCAGGGTCTCAGCCCGAATACCTGCGAGTCTGTGGGACCCTCTCGGCCAGTTCCATCGATTTTCCTGTCCTGATCCACCCGGAGCCCGTCCTTTTCCGGGTCTGTGTCCCGTTAAAGCCCAAGTGGATCCTCAAGAAGCATTTAACGAAGACGCCGTTGAGGGTCTGACGGTTTCTCTCCGCCCTCACTCCCACCCAGTGCAGTCCCCCAGGGCCTCTGCCTGGTCGCCTCCCGCTGCCCGTCTCCAGGGGCAGCCTGGGTGGTCTCTTACAGGCCGCCGAATTCCTGCCCCAGCGGCTCCCACCTCACGCGGTGGGGCTGGTGGTGTCCCCTGGGGCAGCTGCAGCAAACTCCCAGCAGCAGGGTTCACGCTCCGCGGTCTGGCGGGCAGGAGCGCAGAGCCCGCGACTGGGCAGGACCCACAGCTGAGGCCAGGAGCACTCTCAGGCAGCAGCCAGGCCTGTGCTGCCTCCCGGGGCTCGGGAAGGCCCCCTCGCCTGGTCCTGCTCTCTTGGCACTGCTCAGTCCTAGGCGTTTCCTGGCCCAGGCGTGTGTCCCCTGTGCCCTGGGACAGCCGTCATTGGGTTGAGGCCCACTCGCTGTCTCTGCTTCTGACACCCAAGACCTGGTTTCCATGTGCAGTCAATCCAGAGGCTCTGCACCGTCCTGGACCCTGGCGAGCCTGCCTGGGCCTGCCGGGACTTCAGGGTGTCCCTGCATCCACACTCCCGGCCCCCTTCGCCCCTCTGCCTCGCCGCCTCCCCGCCGCTCCCTGCTCTCTCGCTGTTGCACTGTTACCCCCATTGCTGCTCAGATGGTCCCCGTGTGGCCAGCAGGGTCCTTGGCGACTGTCCCCACCCTCCTTGGCACAGAGCAGGTTTGTGCCCACCCTCTGAGTGAGACGGGTCACCCGGTGACAGGTGAGTGGGACTTAACGCGGTCCACTCCCTGAGACCCTCCGGCCATCTCGGCTCTCTGCCCCCTCCCCAGTTCCGTATTGCCCCCATGGGATCCCTTAGAAGGCACGGAAGTCTGGGGTGCAGGAGTGTTCTGTGTCCCACGGGCAGCTGCGTTCCAAGCGCCTGACACAGCCCCTGGCCGGGTGCAGCTGCCCTGTGAGCGCGCGAGCGCGTGATGAGGTCTGCAGAGCCCCCCACTAACCGCTCCTCTGTGCATTTGTTTGCCTGCTTCCGGTCTAGGGCAGAGCATCAACCCCAAGCTGGCGGGCCTGGTCGGGCGGCACGGGCCCCAGCACAAGCAGCCCTTCATGGTGGCCTTCTTCAAGGCCACGGAGGTCCACCTGCGCAGCGTCCGGTCCACCGGGGGCAAGCAGCGCAGCCAGAACCGCTCCAAGGCACCCAAGAACCAAGAGGCGCTGCGAGTGGCCAACGTGGCAGGTGCGGCAGGCGGGGCGGGGGCGGGCAGTGGCTGGAAGGGCGCGCAGGTGCCCCAGGGTGGCTGTGGGACCCTCGTAGCAGGAAGCAGGTCTCCCGCCGTCCCTGTCTACCCAGGGCTCACCCTCTTCCTTCTGCAGAAAGGCAAGCAGCAGCGAAGTGTCGGTATAGGCGAGGCCGGCGGGCAGAACGAGTTATACACAGGCTAAGGGATGCGAAGGAGAACCGCAGAGCCCCGAGCGGGAAGATCCCGCAGGGACGCCTTGGGGGAGGGGAGCCTGAGAGGCAGTTGGCGCTCGGCGGGGATTGGAAGGGCTCGGAGTACATATCACTAGCAATGCTTTCAGGTTTGTTTGAAAGATTTCTTTACTTTAAAAAATTCAGGCCGGCGCTGCAGCTCACTAGGCTAATCCTCCACCTTGCGGCGCTGGCACACCGGGTTCTAGTCCCAGTCGGGGCGCCGGATTCTGTCCCGGTTGCCCCTCTTCCAGGCCAGCTCTCTGCTGTGGCCAGGGACTGCAGTGGAGGATGGCCCAAGTGCTTGGGCCCTGCACCTGCATGGGAGACCCAGAGAGGCACTTGGCTCCTGGCTTTGGATCAGCGCAGTGCGCCGGCCGCAGCGGCCATTGGGGAGTGAACCAATGGAAAAGGAAGACCTTTCTCTCTCTCTCTCTCTCACTGTCCACTCTGCTGTCAAAAAAAAAAAAAAAATTCAAACGGGGACTTTTCCTTTGCAAAGAATTCCAGGCTTCATACAGGTCCCAAGGGAAATGCTGTCCTGGGAGGGGGCTTGCAGGGCTTCGGCACACGGTCGGTGCCCTAGGGTGCTTTTTCTTTTTTTTCTTAAGGTTTACTTTATTTTTTGAAGTGCAGACTGACAGCAAAAGGGGGAGAGAGAGAGAGAGAGAGAGAGAGAGAGAGAGAGAATCTTCCATCCACAGTTTCACTCCCCCAAATGGCTGCAAGGGCCAGGGCTGGGTCAGGTAGAAGCCAGGAGCCAGGAGCTCCATCCGGGTCCCTCACATGGGGGCAGAGGCCCAAGGACTCGGGCCACATCCGCTGCTCTCCCGGGTGCATGAGCAGGAAGTTGGATTGGAAGTGGCGCAGCCGGGACTGGGGCTCGGGCTCTCCATGCAGGTGCCGGCCTCGCAGGCAGCGGCCTGGTCTGCAGTTTTTGAGGCTCCTGATTCAGGAGGGTGCAACACAGGGGCTCAGAGAGGGGGAGAAGTCACCCAAGGGCAGAGAGCAAGGCGGTGGCAGCCCTGGGGTGGGGCCCTGGGAGGCTGCCTTGTCCTTACACTCCACACTTCCCCGTCTGGCTCTGCCGGTCCGGGAAGAGTTCTGGTGCCCCCCGCGACCTGGGTGTTGTTTTTGGATGATTCGCCGGGCGTTTGCTGAGCCTACACCCAGGCCTGGCTGGGAACTCAGATGTTAATGGGGGCCTGGGTTTGCTGGGGTCCCAAGACCACGCATTCAGGTCACGAGTGTGGGGCCAGAACACGTGGGACAGCCTTCCTGACATGGTCATCTGAGGCCAGCGCTGAAACGTGGTGCTGTTTTGAGCCGCTGTGTCCGTGGGCATCGGGCAGAGCAGCCCTGGGAACGGATGTGGGTTCTGGTCCTGCCGATGGGCCCCGGAGCTGCAGCCTTCACGGCTCCGGCCGGACCCGAGGCAGGACGGGTCCCAGAGGCCAACCAGCCCGGCCGGCCGTGTGGGGGCCCTGCACTGACTCCAGCTCTCCCGGCTCCTGGGCCTGGGGCATAGGCTGGGGAGGTGGCAGCAGTGGGCCCCAGCCCCCAGCTCACCTGCTGCAGGCCGTAGCCTCTGTCCCCCACCTGGCCTGTCATGAAATTTCTGTTCAGTTCACTTTCCAAGGGCCAAGGGAGAGAGCTGCGGTTGATGTTGTTCAAGGAGCTGGGCTTCCTGCCCCCCCAGGCACCCCCGGTGCCCCCCAGGGGGCCCCTGTGCTGTAGGGTGTGGGGGACCCTCTAGGGGGTCTTTTCCCGGCAGGTGCTCTGTTGGTTTTCAGCCTTTTCAAAAGGACCTACAAACCCAGAGAAATCCCTCGTTGGCCTCTGGGAGCCCCTCTGTGTCGGACCCGTGGGTGCTGGGGTCAGTGGTGAGAGCCGGAGCGCGCTGCGCCTGGGGAGCTGTTTCAGGGCAGCAGCAGGTGGACGGCCCTCCCTTCTGCATAGGATGATTGGCGGAGCGAGGATGACGACTGGGGACCGGGCCCCTTGTTGGGGACAAGACTTCCGTGGGAAGCGAGCCGAGAGCTCTGGGCCCAGTGTGGCCCCATGTGGGGTCTCAGAGGGAATGCTCAGGGCCCTGGGGCCCACAGGTGCAGAGACCCACGGTCGGGGGTTCCTGCCACTTCTGGGGGGAGGGGAGGAGGCCACGGAGGCCGAGCCAGGGGTGGTGTGGTGTGGGGTCAGGCATCCTAGAGCTGCATCTTGCGTCTTGGTTCCTCCCAAGCGGATCCCAGGCCCCGCAGGGTTTCCAGCTCGTGGCTGCGAGAACGGGGAGGAGCAGAGCAGGGGTGGGGGCAGCCCCAGGCCGGGGCCCCAGGTGGCCCTGGTGAGTCAGCCAGGCCGGGAGTGCCGGGAAATTCCACCACAGCCAAGACTCCCTGCAACCTGGAGCTCTGGGGAGTGAGGGGCCGAGACCTGAGCCTCACAGTCTGGGAACTCAGCGCCCGGGTGCCCCAGCCCAAGTCTCTGCACACCACCAGGCCGGGGCTCTCGCCACCCACCTGGCCGCGGTCCACTTGCTGTGCGTTTCTGTCCCGGGGCCCTGCTGTAGGTTCTCCCCAAGCCCACCTGGAGGCCTGGGAGCCAGCTGGGCTTAGCCAGCTCTGCATGTGTGCAAGGGGGCACACACATGTGCTAGGGCCGTTTGAAGTGCTCTCGGCTCACGTGACAGGCCAGGAATGCTGCCGCAGGGCCACACAAGTTGACCGTGCCGGCGTGCTGGGCCTCTGTGGGCGGGGCGTGGGGTGCGCGTCCCAGCCTGCCCTGCCGCCCGTGCTGCCTGCAGGTCCCTGCCCAGCCCAGGTGGTGGCTCGGCCCTGAGAAACCGGGGCCTCGCCTCCCTTTGGACCTGAATCGAGGTGATCAGTCGGCCTGGCAGATGACCGCGGGGGTGGCAGCCGAGGCCAAGCGCCAGCTGGGACTTGCCGGCGGCTCTTGGGGCGTGGTGGAGGGAGGCGGAGAAAGCAGCTGCGGGCCTCACCTCCAGCTCACCTGCTCTCTGATGTGGGTGGGCAGGGCCGGAAACGGAGCTGGAGGCTTGAGCTTGCTCCCTTTGCTTGCTTTTCTGCTAATAATAGGCCATGGGAGACACAGGTGTCCTGGCCATGTTCTCTGGGAACAGCCATGATCCCGAGAGACCTAGACGTGCAGGGCACATGTCCAGGGCCGCAGCAGGCCCACAGGCAGCTTCATGGGCTGCTCTCTGCCTGGTCCACTCGACCTCAGGGTGGTCATTGAGCCAAATACCCTCTAAAGGCTTCTAGACAGGCTGGGGAAAGCGGCAGTCGGCCCCTACTTGCCCTGCCTCTGCTCCTGGCAGACATTGCTAATCAATCGTGGCACTCCCTCCTCACTGAGCACTCACCCTGATTCAGCATCTTCGTTGTGCAGGCACTGGCCCTGGCTCAAGAGGATGTATTCAGTCTCTTGTCCAAAGTCCGTAGGCTGAGGGTTCCCTCCTCCCTTCCTCCCACCTCTGAGAGGAGGCTACGCAGGTGGCCTTGGGCATGGCCATGGTGATGGGTGCGTCTGAGCTTTCCAATCGAGGGCACGCTGCATCGTCTGATGGTGCCCTTGGCCTCTGCATGTTAACCACAGCCTGGCCCATGGGGGACCCTGGTGCTACCTGGCTGAGAGGAGGGGCGGGGTCATCCCTGCACAGTGGCCCTTCCGTGCCCACACTGGCCCTGCAAACGCAGCTCACGCGCCCTCATCCCTCCGGGCTCCGGCCCCTGGCTGTGCGTCCTGCGTCCTCCACCCCCCTTCTCCGTGTCCCCACCCAGGAATGCTCCTCCCTGGTGCCTTCCCGGCCTGCTCTCTCCCTCCCATTCCTCACAGGTGTCACTTCCCCAGAGGAGCCTTCTGGGAACCCCCTGGAGGCCCGCCATGCTGGCCGCCCCACCCCTGCACCCCTGGCCTTCCTCCTCCTCACCCTCACTTGCGCCCCCAGGTGCCTTCAGAATCGTGCTCAGCCGTGGGGCGGCTCCAGCAGCCGCGCGTGTCCACGGAGCCTTCCTGCCACGCGGACGCTCACGGCGCAAGTCCCGGCGGTGCCCGCTTTCCCGAGACGGCACTGAGGCCCCAGGAAGGGCAGCCAGCAGTGTCCTCCCTGTCTGTCCGTCTCTCACTGGCCGGGGGCCGTGCAGGGAGGGTTCCATGAGTCGGGGAAAGCAGGCAAGGTTGAGGGGTGTCTCGCTCTTTACCAGACCCCCTTGGGGAGTGTCAGCGGGTTTGGCGAAGACAGCCATGGCCTTGACATTCAGACGGGCAAAGGTGTCCTAGGCAGCGAAGCCTGCGTGTGGTCTGGGTCTGCACCAGGTGGGCTGGGCGGACGGCGAGACTGCTGCCTGATGTGAGCTCACGCCGAGCTGTGCCGGGCTGAGCGCTCACACAGCTCCTCTGTCTCCACCCACAAACCGCAGGCCCAGGGTCTCTGAGAGCCCGGCCTCGCCTCCACCCGGGCGCAGGCTGACCCCCACTGCCCCAAGGGGCTGAGCGATTGTGAAAGGGGCCGGCCGGGCCGGGTGGGCTGCAAATGCCAGGAGCCTGGGCTGCAGCAGTAGGACACACTGGCCCACAGAGCTGGGGTGGGGGGATGAGAGCCGGCTGTCCTGCAGGCTGGACAGGGCGGCCCACGCCCCGGGGTGCCTGTCCCTGTCCCACCGTGGGGGTACTGAGACCCACGCCCCGGGGTGCCTGTCCCTGCCCCACCGTGGGGGTGCTGAGACCCACGCCCCGGGGTGCCTGTCCCTGTCCCACCGTGGGGGTACTGAGACCCACGCCCCGGGGTGCCTGTCCCTGCCCCACCGTGCGGGTACTGAGACCCACGTCCCGGGGTGCCTGTCCCTGCCCCACCGTGGGGGTACTGAGGCCCACGCCCCGGGGTGCCTGTCCCTGCCCCACCGTGGGGGTACTGAGACCCACGCCCCGGGGTGCCTGTCCCTGTCCCACTGTGCAGGTACTGAGACCCACGCCCCGGGGTGCCTGTCCCTGCCCCACCGTGGGGGTGCTGAGACCCACGCCCCGGGGTGCCTGTCCCTGTCCCACCGTGGGGGTACTGAGACCCACGCCCCGGGGTGCCTGTCCCTGTCCCACCGTGCGGGTGCTGAGACCCACGCCCTGGGGTGCCTGTCCCTGTCCCACTGTGCAGGTACTGAGACCCACGCCCCGGGGTGCCTGTCCCTGCCCCACCGTGCTGGTGCTGAGACCCACGTCCTGGGGTGCCTGTCCCTGTCCCACTGTGCTGGTGCTGAGACCCACGTCCCGGGGTGCCTGTCCCTGTCCCACTGTGCAGGTACTGAGACCCACGCCCTGGGGTGCCTGTCCCTGCCCCACTGTGCAGGTACTGAGACCCACGCCCCGGGGTGCCTGTCCCTGTCCCACTGTGCGGGTACTGAGACCCACGCCCCGGGGTGCCTGTCCCTGCCCGCGGTGCTGGTGCTGCGTCGGCCCCAGGCTGCGGCTGTGTTTCTAGGCAACACGAGGCAGATGAGCCTCTTCCTGGGGGCTTTCTTAGGAACGCGGGCGCTGTTGTCGAGAGACCCTGGGGCCCTGTTCTGTAGTGCTCACCTGCCCTTCCCTGAGCCTCCAGTGGCAGGGGGTGGGCTCCCCGCTCAGGCCTGGGTCTCGGAGGCTTCCAGAGAGGCCTGACCAGATGCAGCCAGAGGGCCACCCCTAGGCCCCTCTGACAGAGGCCGGGGCAGCGGGTGCACCTGGCAGGGCAGGTGAGCAGCGCGGGCCCCCGTGTGACTCCTGGGCGGCCCTCCCCTCTCTGTGGGAGGCGCTGCCGTTCCCTCACCCCTGCCAAGGACGCCAGTGGACGCCAGGCTTTGGGGAGCCAGCGTGGACGTCTCAAGGCCTCCGAGGCTTGACTCTCAGGCCAGATGTACAAGGGTTATGGGCAGGCGCGGTCCAGGCAGGAGAAGCAGCGAGTGCCAAGGCCCTGGGTTGGGAAGCAGCTGGTGGCACGTTGGGGACATGAGTGGAAGCTGCCGCGCCTGGGCCTGTTGGTCTAGGGGTCGGGGTTAGGGTGCTGCCCTAAGTTAGTCTCCCCTGGGGGTCTCAGGTGGAGGGAGGAGGGGTCGTGGTTAAGGAAAACGTCAATGCCTCTCGCTGCGTTGCAGAGGGAAGATGTGGGTGTGTGCGTGTGCATGTGCACGCGTGTGCATGCGTGTGGAAGAGCCAGAGGCCCCTGCAGTGTTCGCAGGTGCACAGTGCCTGACCGCAGTGCTTACAGCCCCACTGTGTCACTCTGGTTCCTCCAAGAACCCCCAGTAGTGTTTCTCCAGAGGGCGGGTGAAACGTGACTCCCAGCCCCCTTATTTCTTGTAGGGGTGGGGTGGGGGGCCTTGTCCCAGCCCCCGGGCTGGCCCCACCAGCTCAGGGACCGGGCGTGGATGGGGATCTCCTCCTCCGTGGAGTCTGGGCAGATGTCAACTTTCCAGCAACACGTGTACGGAGTGATCCGGAAGGGGTGTGAGCTGAGCCTTGCTGGGAGCGGGTGGGGCCCAGGCTCCGGTCCCGAAGCCGCCTTCTGCCCGAGGGCCCCTGACCTCTGTCTTTCTCCTCCCTGGGTTCTGCTCCTTGGCTTCATTCTCAACTCAGAAAACAGCAGCAGTGACCAGCGGCAGGCGTGCAAGAAACACGAACTGTACGTCAGCTTCCGCGACCTGGGCTGGCAGGTGAGGGGCCGTCACGGACACGGGGCACCCGGGGCAGGCCACCTGCAGGCCGCGGGCCTGGGCTGGCAGGTGAGGGGCCGTCATGGACACGGGGCGCCCGGGGCGGGCTCCCCTGGGTGCAGTGAGGCGTGTGTCACCTTTGCCCTCAGGACCCCATGCTGTGGCCTCTGAACCTCTTGTTCCTCACATACCCCACTCCCACGCTGCGGCCATGCGTTAGGCTGTGGCCAGCTGCAGCACTGCCCACTCCACCCTGTGCGCCTCCCTCCCCGCCCAGGGTTTGGGTCCCCAAGGAAGGCACCTGTCTGACTCGGATCTGGGGCTTATTCCGATCCCACCAGTGTTTTCAGCGTGGGATCCTGCTATGGGACACAGCAGTGGACGTGTGTCTGCCCCATGGAACCCAGACCTCCGCCCAGGGCGTTGTCCTGAGATCCCTGGGGCACCCAGGGGGGCTGTTCCACCCTCGTGGGGCGTGTAGGTCGGTGGACGCGTCCAGGGTCTTCCCTGGAGGTGACGCCGAGGCGCCCCGGGCTCTCGTGCTCACGGCCTGTGGCCATGCTCGCCCTCTGGTGCTGGGACAGAACCCACACTCCGGGGCTCCGTGCCGGAAGTGCCCCTGAACTTAGAGTTGATGGGTGGTGTGTTGATCACGTGGGCTGTGCTAGGCAGGTCCTGCAGTGGAGCCGGGCCAGTGCACCCAGCACCAGGCCTGGGCCCGGCCATGTCCATGAGGGGTTCTCGGTCTCTCTCGTGGGCCGGGCCGCTGAGGCATGGAGGTTTCCGTCCGATGTGTCCTGTCTGGGAGGAGCCATCACGGAGGGGGCCGTCAGGGGCTCAGCCTGGCCCCGTGGTGTCTTCCATCCCTTTGTAAGGTGGGCTGAGCGCGGGGGTGACTGGCCCCAGGAGGGGAAGTCGGCAGTGGGAGGACCCTGCAGGCCGGGCCGTGACCCACCTCCACTCCTCTCTGCTGCAGGATTGGATCATTGCCCCGGAAGGCTACGCCGCCTACTACTGCGAGGGAGAGTGCGCCTTCCCCCTCAACTCCTACATGAACGCCACCAACCACGCCATCGTGCAGACGCTGGTGCGTGCCGCCGACAGGGCCACGGTCGGCTGGGGCGGGGCGGGGGGGGGGCCTGGGCTGACGGCTGCCCCAGGCCACCGCATCCACCTGACTTTCAGTGGCCCCTTGCTGCGTAAACAGAGTAATGATTACATTTTATGGCTGAGTTGGCATAAAAATGAATAGTCTTTGACTTGAGTTCACTTATCCTTCTTGTTTTAAGATTTATTTATTTATTTGAAAGGCAGAGATACAGAGAGAGAGAGAGAGAGAGAGAGAGAGAGGTCTTCCATCCATTGGTTCACTCCCAATTGGCCGCAACGGCTGGAACTGGACCAATCTGAAGCCAGGAGCCAGGAGCTTCTTCCGGGTCTCCCACGTGGGTGCAGGGGCCCAAGGACTTGGGCCATCTTCCACTGCTTTCCCAGGCCACAGCAGAGAGCTGGATTGGCAGTGCAGCAGCCGGGACTCAAACCGGCGCCCATATGGGAGGCCGGCACTGCAGGCGGCGGCTTCACCTGCTGTGCCACAGCACCGGCCCCTGTTCCTTCTTATTTTAAAAGCAGCTAAACAGCTCCCCAGGCTCCTAAATTATCGTGGGTACCAGCCACAGGGCCGAACTGAGAGGCGGGCCTGGTGCTGTGTCCGTGTGGGCGCTGTTGGCGGTCGGCGTCTCAGCCGCATGTCCATTCTCCTGCAGGCCTCCCCACCTCCACCTCCACCCCCACCCCATGCCTCTGCTTCCCCTGGGGCAGGAGGGCTTGAGACCTTCAGGTAATCAGCCTCCCTGGAAGGTGACAGGTGCATCTCCCGGCTCCCCTCCCCCACCCTGCCTTCAGGGCTGAGGAGCAGACCTGGTTCCCTGGGGGAGGGGGGCTCTGACTCCCTTCAGCCTCTCCCCAGGGACCTGTAGGACCCATGAGATGCCCCCATGTTGTCAAAAACAACTGTTGTGGCCATGCATAAAAGGGGGTAACTCCCTGTCTTCTTCGGAGCCCCAGTGATATGTGGGCGACAGCGTAGATGTGTCACAGGTTGGCCCTGTCTGTCGCATGGGACACTGGCCCGTGGCAGAGGTCTCAGCCTGGATGGGCGCTGGGAGCAGAGGTCAGGCGTGGATGCTTCCGCTTGGTTTGTGCCATGTTCCGGAAACCCAGAACTTTCCCACGAGCGCCGAAATGGAACAACCCAGCCTCTGGCCTCTGCACCTGGCACATCCGATGTCTGGGCCGGCTGCAGCCAGCGGGGAGTCAGCGGCGGCCTCAGTCTCCGTCACGCCCTGCTGGCCCCGCCCCCTCCTGCTCTGCTCGTTGGGGGCACTCACGAGGCACCTCAGACATCTGAGTTTGCTCGCCCCTCCCCCGAGTGCCTGTCCCCCAGGGCGGGCGTCAGGGACGCCGCTCCGCCTGCCCCGGTGCGCAGGGCAGTGCCACAGGGAGAATGGCGGGCCCCAGGCTCCCCCCCTGTAAGGCAGGGAGCACCCAGCCTGAGTTGGTGCCCGTGGGGCCCTTAGGACAGGAGAGCCCGTTAACCCTCAGCCACGGTCCCTGTGCCCGAGCCCTGGGTGTCCCGAGCCCTGACCGCGTCTGCCGTGTTCCAGGTCCACTTCATCAACCCGGACACAGTGCCCAAGCCCTGCTGCGCGCCCACGCAGCTCAACGCCATCTCTGTCCTCTACTTCGACGACAGTTCCAATGTCATCCTGAAGAAGTACAGGAACATGGTGGTGCGGGCCTGCGGCTGCCACTAGGCCCCTCCCGCAAGCCAGACCCAAAGGGACCACGTCCTCCGGATCCCACGTGCCTCGCCGGCAGCCCACCCGCCTTCGGGGCCCGCCCCACTGCCTGCTGCCCTGAGCTGGACAGCGACCTCTGATCCCGTTCTCGCTGTGGGCGGCGCCCGTGGACAAGACCCCAGGAGCTGCTGCAGGCGTGCCGAGCGGGGAGAGAAACCTGTTAACCAGCCAAGTCGCCCGGCCGCGGTCTCTGGCTGCACAGTGCACGCGGAGCCCGGACTCGGTCCAGAGGTAACCGAGCGCCCCCCAGCCGGGCCACCGGCGGCGGGGAGAGGCAGAGGGCGTGGCCGGGGCGGGCAGGTGTAAGTTGTGCTAAAGAAAAACTGACGGTGGAAGTTCCTGTAATAAATGTCGCAATAAAACAAATGGATGAAAATGGTGAGGATGCACAGATACAGTTTCCTACACAGTTTATCCCGGTTTCCTGGTTGATTCTGTTTCATAAACGGAGGCCGTGGCTGGCGAAAGGCAGAGGCGCAGTTCCTCCCAGGGGCCGGATGCCCCCAAAGCCAGGATTTGCTGGGGGGGGGGGGAGCGGGCATTGACCTTGAGGGGGATCGCAGGGCGCACTGGACGCGCGTCACAGCAGAAGGTTCTGGAAGCTGTCTTGAGGGTGCCTGCCCAGCCAGGCGTCCCGACTTGGAGACAGCATTGCTGATGTGGCTTTTGGGGAAGGCCCCTGTCCTGGTCTGCCGGGCCCAGCCTCTTCCGGCTGCCCTGGGAGGCTGTGGGGAGGCCTGGGCACCGTGGCCGTTCCCCAGGCGAGCGGGGGGTGGGGCCTGCGGAGTGGGGTCCGTGGGGAGTGGCCCCGCCTTCTCCTGGAAGGGCTGCGGCTCTAATTTTCCTTTCCTTTTTCTTCTGCAGTAGCTTGAGCTACCGCCGCCTGCACCTGCTCACTGGAGGGAAAGTGTGTCTTGTGTGTTCTCTTTTGTTCTGCACTTGGGCCTGACTGCTTCCCGCCCCGGCCAGCCCCGGTCTGGTCACGTGTGTGTGTGAACGTGTGGGTAGCTGGTGCGAAGCTAGAAATGATTTCTGTCCGTCGGAAGCGCCTTTAAACCCTCGTGTGAGCCTTCGCTCGTTGAACGCGCTCTCCTTGCACCTGTTATCTTCTTCTTTAAGACTATTTATTAAGGGTTGGCCCAGAGCACCCGGGCTGCCGCGTCCAGCAGTTTGTCTGTTTACACAAACGCCCAGGGGTTGACTTGCAATAACAGGACGCGTTTGGTCTCGGGTCCTGGGCCTGAGTGTGGGTGTGGTGTGGCTCCTCCCGGTGTGCAGAGCCTGGCGCTCGCTCAGCGCACCGTCGGCTCGCGGCTCCCCAGCCCGGCCTCGGGTCCCTGCGGGCGCTGGCCAGCGTTGGCTGGGGCCGTGCGGGGCTCCAGGCAGGAGAGATGGAGCCAGCAGCGACTGTGGCTGCCTCGGGCTCGGCTGCGGAGCCCTTGATTGAGTTACACACAGCTGTCAGCAGCTGTTTCCGAATGGCAGGGGGTGAACGCGCTGTGTTTACTGCGAACATAGTTGAGAGATTCAGTCATCCCAATAAAGCAGAGGCGGAGGGGAGGCAGGGGACGGGAGCGGCTCTGTGCACCCAGCACTTGAAAGCTGCGACGCGGTTGTCCGGGGCAAATTGCGTGGGCAGTTTGGGGGCCACCCCGGAGCCCGGCCCTGGGGGCCTCCGTGCGCGGCGCGGCGCTGGCCGGGCAGCGGGCAGCTGCAGGGCGGGCTCCCTTGCCCTTTGAAGTGTTCCGTGAGGTCACCTGAGGGTGCTGTTGGAACCCCAGCCGGGGCGTGGCCAGCAGCGGCCTGGCTAACAAGCTCCAGCCCCGGGATTTCCAAACCCTCCTGCCGCTGTCCTGATGCGCTCTCGGCTTTTGTTCTGCTTCCCGGGCCGAAGCCCAGAGCCACAAATCAGAGCTCCAGATGCGGCCTGCAGACGCTCGCGCCTGCCCCGCGTGCTGTTTATACATGTTTCAAAAACGCGAATTCCTTGCCAGCATGTTTCTGAAAAATCAGAAGACTGGAGTGAAGGGGGAAAAAAATCCCCAAATCTGGCTTCTCTTCAGAAAGCGGCAGCTCCGGCAACCCCGGGCCCCCTCCTGCCTGGCAGCTCCTGGCTGGAGCCGGGGGCAGCTGAGGCCGCGTCCTCCCCCGCTCCCTAGCGACCCCTGCGGAGGGCACTGGTCGGATGGGATTGCTGAGATGGCAGGTGCCATCGGCCCTGTTAGAAGTCGCGAGATAAAAGCCAGACTGGGTGAGCCAAGGACACTGGGAAGGACAAGCAGGATTCTGTCGCCCGCCCGAGCCCAGGTGCACCTGCTCCTGAGCACAAAGCCACACACGGCCTCGTTCCCCTGTCCCCGCTGCGAGTCGGCACCTGCCCTGCCCACCTCCACCTTGAACCCCTTCCTCCAGTCCTGCTCCCCGCGAGGCACACACGGCGACAGAACATCTGAGTCCCCCAGCTGCTGCTTGCTGGAACTGGAATCTGGACCCAAAAGCCTGGGCTCAACCTTGGGCTCACCTGACTTGGAATCTCCTGGGGCATCTTGGGAAATGCGAGAATTCCTGGGCCCCGGCTCTGATGCTCCAAGAAGTCCCTCCCGCACCCGTACCCCTGGATCTAGGCCGAGCGCTCGGGACTCGCGTGGCTCGTGGCCACGTCTGTGCTGCCCTGCCCCTGGCGCACGTGGCCTCCTCCAGACTTTCTCCGTGTGCCTTTGAGGGGGACACTTGGCACTGGGTTGGGGGTCTGCCCGGATGAGCCAGGCTGACCCTGCCTCTGAGCCGCTGATTAATAACACCTGGTAGGTCAGCACACTTCCCAGGCTCATCACGTGGCTGGACCTTTTCCATCCGGCCATTACCACGACTTGTTGCTGTCCTGAGGCCCTGCCTCCTTTCCCAGCACATCAGGGTCCAGGTCGACACCGTGCTCCGCCTACTGTCCCTGACACTGTCGGCACTAAGCCGTGAGCTCGGGGTTCCGCGGTGGGAGCCCCTCTCCGTGCTGCGCTGCTGCCGCCGTCTGCCAGCTGCCAGGGGCTCTGGCCAGGGTCCACCCTCAGGAGCAGGCCGGCCGTAAGCGAGGACGGCCATGGCCAAGGGCGGCCAAGCCACGCGCGATGCTCCCTCCGAGAGCGGGGTTGCTGTGAGGCCAGCACGGGCTTCCCTTGGGCCAGAGGTGCCCGTGTGGCCCTCATCCATCCATCCATTCATTCATTCATTCATTCACTGTGTGTCTACTGTCAGCCTGGGGGGCGGGCAGACGGACCAGCACCGCAGCCTGACGCGTGGGCCCTCCTCCGTGAAGGAGAGGAGACCCCGTCGTGACTGTGCCGGATGAAGACGAACCTCAGCCGAGCTGAATCGGATCCATTTCCTGTCTTCACGTTTTAAAAGACAGGAGAACGTTCCGTGGGCTTCTAGAAGTTCCGTGGGCCCTGCAGTGAGCTGTTCTTGCTGGGCGACCATCAGGGCATCGAGGAAGGAGACTGTGTGGCCAGGGTGGCCAGGGCGGCCAGGGCGGCCAGGGCGGCCAGGGTGGCCAGGGTGGCCAGGGCGGCCAGGGTGGCCAGGGACAGATTTCCACAGGGAGCGAGTGTCCCTGAGCCAAGGCCTGGATGGAGGACAGAGCGGTCACGCTGGCTTGTGCAAAGGCCCGGGGGTGGGCTTGTGGGCAGGTTGGTGTCACGGTGAGAAGGTCCATGTGGCCGGAGCAGAGTGAGTGCAGCGGGAGTGAGGTCAGCGTGGCTTTGGGGCCACAGAGGAGAGTGACGGGGGGGGGGGGGGAAGGGGGCACCGGGGGACTTCACGGAGGGAGCAGCGCTCTTTATTTTAAAGAAAGGATTCGTTTATTTTATTTGAAAGGCAGAGTTACACAGAGAGAGGGAGAGGCAGAGAGAGGGAGAGGCAGAGAGAGCCCCACCCGTCACGTTTATATGACGTATGCTGTACACTTTATGCTTTACATCATGCACTTGTGTCATCGTGTGGGACACCAGAGGCCCACTTACCTTTCATGTAGGGGAAATAGTCTCACGGGCACGCTTAGCTGCGAGGGGGTCTGGGAACCGTAGGCCTTGATTCTTGGTAGCAATGGCTGCCGAGCCCCAAAGTCAGGGTCCTGTCACCACCGCTGTTGCATGCAGGTTGCTGTCTGTCACTGCTCCGTGTCACGTGACCTCAGCGTAGCGGCTTCTCGCATCGCCCACTTCCTGTCTCAGAATTTCCACGGCCCAGCTGTTCCCACCGCTCAGGATTGCACAAAGCCAGAAGCAGGTGCCAGCCAGGGCCGTGCGCCTGCCTGGAGCCCAGGGCCGCCTGCCCGGCTCACCCAGGGCCGTGCACCTCCCTGGAGCCCAGGGTCCCCTGCCAGACTCACCCAGGGCCGTGCGCCTCCCTGGAGCCCAGGGCCGCCTGCCCGGCTCACCCAGGGCCGTGCACCTCCCTGGAGCCCAGGGCCGCCTGCCCGGCTCACCCAGGGCCGTGTGCCTCCCTGGAGCCCAGGGCCACCTGCCCGGCTCACCCAGGGCCCCCTGCCAGGCTCACCCAGGGCCGTGTGCCTGTCTGGAGCCCAGGGCCCCCTGCCCAGCTCACCCAGGGCCGCCCACCCAGCTCACCCAGGTTCTGGCCCAAGGCAGCCTCTTGCAGCTGTGGGACCCAGCCTCACTTTCTCACTGGCTGTCAGCCACAGGTCACGCGCAGCGCTGGGAGGCCTCTGCCCGGGGCCCTCCCACGCCGGCCAGGCCCGCGGCAGTGTCCCCATCTTTCCTCAAGGGCTCATCTGACCGGCTCAGACCCACCGCGGCTGAACTCAAAGCCAACTGCTTGGGGCCATTCGCCTCTGGGAGTGACGGCCCTCCCCCGCCCTGTGTGGGTGGAATCCTGCCGCCCGTGGCACCCAGGGGGCACCACACGCCTGGGTTACCAAAGGACCCGGTATACAGTAGGCACACAATAAAGACCAGGCACCACCGCAGACTCCAGTTCTCCCATCCCCCAGGGACCCAGTTCTAGCTGTGTCTCGCCTGCCTGGCGCAGCCGCAGTACCAGCCGCCGACCGTCGCCTCCCGCAGTGCCGGACAGACAAGCCCACCGTGGGCCCGGGAGCTACGTCCCCTCCGTCCCCTTCCCGCTTCAGGCCCCGGAGGTGGAGGCGGCGCCACTGAGTGCTGGACCTTAGTGGTTTTATGTGGCCTGGGGCTGCACAACTCCGGGGGGCGCTGTTCACACCGCTGTCAAGGAGAGGAGCTTCTCCAGGGTGGGAGAGGGAAGGTGGCCCTGGGCAGCCCGGGTCGGGGGCGTCCAGGGCCAGACGCACCCTCTCTCAGGAGACCCAGCCTCGCTCAGGGGCTGGGGTCCGTCCTGCGTGCCGGGGAGC